GGCTACTCCGCCCTGTGCTGAGGAGTGCATCCCAAGACCTTTTGTGATGACCTCCGATTTTAGGGTCGAGAGGCCCTCCCCGAAGTCAGGGTGCCGTGAGCCCGTGACTCGGTATGTTAGATCAATAACGGACATCAAAAGAGTGAAAGTGGACTGCTGCTGGGGAGATTCCGCGCTCGTGGAGATTCCTGCTCGGGATGAAGACATTACAGCTCACAAAGCTGGCTTTCTGAGTGTGTATACCTATCCATTTTCCTTGGGACCGGTAAGGCCGTCCTTGCCCCTGATTGACCCCATGATTCTTGACTTCTGCCAGAGTTACCAGGTGACCCTAGGTCAAGTCCATCCTTCGTTCTAGCGCGTGGTTTATATGATTAGGCACTACACGAGCATGATAGATGGGATGCCCTTCACCCTAAACCATTTAATCCGGATGTATAGCCCTCGCCTGCTTCGCGGAGGTTTAATCAAGCTTCGCTGTCGAGCTTCAAGGTCCCCTTTTACCCCCACTAAGGAATTAGATGATTAAGCCGATTCATTCGAGTGAGGACATCTGATCTAATTCCAGCGGAAAAGATGCCGTTACCTGAGGAATGGAACGCTGGGCGTAAGTAGTTCCGGTGCCCTTGCCCCCTTTTCTTTTTGTAACTTTTCTTCACACATCTGACTCTGCCTTTCTGGTCCTTTTAGCCGCAGCGATCTACCTCGGCGCGGCGTCGGACCTTCGGGGTTGGGTCTGTTGTCTGCATTCAATCTGCCCGTATACCGATCAAGTGTGGCGGGATTTATCCCGGGCCCGTCAAGAGGCCGGAGGCCCTGGTAAGTCTGGAGTTTTGATGCATTCGTGCAATCCGACATTAGCGAGGCATTAGTAGCTTTCTCTTTTCCATGCTTCTGACATCTGCATTTATGCAGGTCTGGTGGGAACTCTACCGGTGAAGGAGGCACCGTCTGTTGGAGGGGACGCTCAGATGCATGACGAGGAGGGGAAGAGGAAGGAGAGCCTGCCAGTTGGGCTGCCGGAACCCAAGAAGAGCAGAGTGGAGGGTTCCGATGTCGACCCTTTGGCTCCAGTACCCGAGGCGACAAAAAATCCTCGTGTTGAAGATGAGGGAGAAAGTAGTTTTTCGGCACCCTTTAAAGGATGCATGAGGATGGTTGATCGCCGGGTCGTGAGAGTAGATGCTTCCGGACAAGGACCCGATGCTGATGTGGCTCGGGTTTGTGGTGGCGAAGCGATGGATGGGATATCGAGTACTGACCTCGATGTAATAGGAGGCCAGGGCTCTCCCCGGACTGGGTGCCTTTGATAGTCAGTTCGGAGGGGCCTCGATCTGGACCTCGGGACAAAATGAAGACGGAGATTCAGGTTAACCCTGTTGGCCCGTTTGTCATCGTTGCTTCCCCAAAGGGGGATATTTTTCCATTTTGCCGTACCCAAGAGGAATCTTGCGAGGAGCCTTTTGTGGCGGGAGCGCTGACTAAAGGCGGAGGCGCAATCAGAAGGCCGACGATCATTTTTGAGGGCAGTTCCGAGGTAGACGTCCTGTCTATCTTCGGCGAAATGGGCAGGTTGTGCGAGCGGGTAACTTCACCTAGCACTGTTTGCTGCTTCGGGCTGCTTCGCCCCTTTCTCTTCTTAACTATTTTGTGCGGTTTCAGGCCGAGGCGCTTTATAACCAGGTCCTCGCCCAGTGTAAGGAAGAGGTGAGTCGTCGTGAGCGTGAGGAAGCTTTCTTCGCTGAACAGGTTGTGTATCCCTTGCTCTTGCTAACCTTCGAGTTTTTATAGAATCTCGTCGCTTTTAACTCTTAGGGCCCTGACCCGTGCAGTTTGAGAAGGAGAATGCCTTGCTGAGAGGGGAGCTTCGGGCCAGGGATGCTGAGATCTCCGAGCTTAGCCGGCGTGTAAGCGCGGTGTCTTCTAAGAGGGACAACCTTAGGGAGAGAGTTACCTTGATCGAGCGCCAGCTTCAGGACGCATGGGAGGATAGCGGAAACTATTAGGGCCTTCATTCCGAGTTGGTGGCTGCACTGCTTCGGATCAAAATTGAGGCCGAGGCGCTTGTATCTTTGCATGGGGGAGGAGCGATCGTCGTAGATTCCTGTGTTGAGAGGGCGTCGAAGGAGGCTGGCCTGACGTTGCCTCGAACCGTGGGTCGTGCTTGGCAAGTTTTCCTAGGACTGCCTGTTGAGGGCGCGTTGGAAGGGAGCTCGAGCGGGGTAAAAAATGGAAGCGGATCCCCGGAGAGGGGGGACGCCGTCGAGAAGGGGCCCTCACGGGACCTGTAATTACCTGGATGTAACCTTTCGAGGCCATTGGTTCAAGGATAAATTAGGGCCTGCTATCCTTTTCCGTTGGTCTCCTTATTCGTAGTACTTCTTTAATTCGACAATTGTATAAGGAGAATTCTGCAACTTCATTTCCTCTTTGATTTTATCAATGATTTGGCGAACAAAAACCTCCGGCCTATAATATAGCCTTGTGGCCTTTTCGGGCTGGCTCAGACAAAAGGGATTTTTACCTTTGGTCATTTTGTCATTTTGCTGCTTCGGTCCAGTCTTCGAGTCGCGTTGCGACTCGAGCTTTATTTGGCCTTGAGTTTTTTCCTGCCCGTATGGGCGGATAATGGTAGTTTATGCCCTAGGTCGAGGTGACCTTACAGCTGGGTGGCCCGGGGGCTTTATTCGATCGGCGATAGCGGCACTTATGTCGTGCCCTTAGGCATTTTGTAGTTTAACTTATTTCGGGTCCAGCCTCCAAGTCGCGTTGCGATTCGAGCCTTAATTGACCCTTAAGCTGTCAGTTTTGGCTGGCGACAAGGGCACTTACGCATTTTGGTCGTGGAGACCTTTTGATATGTGGCCCGTAGGCTTGTTTAGTTAACTATTTTGAATCCGGTCTCCGAATCGAGTTACGATCCGAGCTCACTTTAATCCTCAAGTTGTCAATGTTTGCTGGCGACAATGGCTCTTACGCTTGTTTGGTTGTAGAGACCTTTTGATATGTGGCCCGTAGGCTTGCTTAGCTGGCGACAATGGCTCTTACGCTATTTTTGCCCGTGGGCTTTTTGTAGGCTTTGTTTTCCGCTCATTAAGGTCTTTTTGAAAGATTTTTTCCTGAACCGTCGTCGGTTCTAGAAGAACCTCGATTTCAAGTCGTTATCGGCGATATTTTGAGCATCTCGGAAGGTTCATAGCCCGTTGTTTGCCTGTTTGAGGGAAGCCTATTTTAACCGATTCTTTCCGAAGTATATTCAAAGTAGTGGCCTGCAATTTTGTTTAGCGATGGTCGGGCGTCCCCAAGTTGCATTATTTCAGCTGTATCAGCCGTTTTGACCATAGTCATATGTATTTGGCCATAGCTATTTTTGATCCCGAGTGATAGTTTAGGCGTCCACACCGAGGGTATGCCCTTTTGGGAATCTTACAAATAAGACGTATAGCCTAAAGTTTGGGATTTTCATGCCTGTTGAGGTCTTACAGTGTGTCATGCCTATTGAGGTCTTACAGTTTGTCATGCCTATTGAGGTCTTACAGTTTGTCATGCCTATTGAGGTCTTACAGTTTTTTCGGTGATGTGGCATGGCGATTGTCGTCAGTCTCCGAGTCATCAAGTTGTTTAAGCGTGAAGACCGCTTCTTGTGAACTCGGAGCTGCGTTGTAGGGGCTTTAAGAGCTCGGCGTTTCGGCCGAGTGTCCTATTGCATGCATTAAGTCTCCGAGTATTTCGGAATGCATTCAGTGGAGGGGGGCCCCATGTCGGGGATACACTTGAGATTTCTCTGTCCGGAGAATAAGGTATTGAAAAGATATCTTTTGATTGCCTGATGTAAGTATAGCCCGATATAGTGTTTTGATCGGGGCCTCGTTCGTCTTATTCCCGGGGCAGAGTTGACCGTGGAAGAAGCCTTGTGGGTTTCTTGGATCCTTCTGGAGAAAAGCATGGATGTCGCCTCATTAAAAACCTTGTTGGCGATAAAACCCGCTTGGGGAAAAGATTTAGAAGGAAAAGAGTACGACGTCCGCTCGAAGATGTTTGTGGGGTTCCATATTCGACCGTCCTAGCAGTAATACCGCTTAAGCATCTATACATTCCAGTTGCTCGGAAGTTGTTCGCCCTCCATGGTACCAAGCTTATAGGAGCCTTTGCCAACTATTCCAAGGACACGGTAAGGTCCTTCCCAAATTTGGCCCAGCTTCCCTTCATTAGGGTTTCTGGTGTTGAGGGTGACCTTCCTTAGGACCAGGTCTCCAACTCCGAAGTATCGGAGATTCGTTCTCCTGTTGTAGTATCTTTCGATTTTCTGTTTCTGGGCAGCCATCCGAACCAGCGAGGCTTCCCGTTTTTTGTCGAGCAGCTCGAGGGCCGTTGCCATGGCTTTGTTATTTGATCCCTCGCTAGTGTGTTGGAATCTGGCGCTTGGTTCTCCGGCCTCCACCGGTATCAGTGCCTCGGTGCCGTATACTAGAGAGAAAGGTGTCTCGCTGGTGCTCGATTTCGGAGTTGTTCGATATGCCCACAGCACTTCGGGCAACGTTTCCCTCCATTTCCCTTTGGCGCTTTCCAGTTTTTTTTTTCAAATTTTGAATGATGGTTTTATTTGTAGATTCAGCTTGGCCATTTGCACACGGGTGATATGGCGTCGACAGGATCCTCTTGATTTTGTTGTCCTCAAGGAATTGTGTTACCTTGCTCCCGATGAATTGCCTCCCGTTGTCGCACGTTATTTTGGACGGGATTCCGAATCGGCATATGATGTGTTCCCATATAAAATTGATGACTTCCTTCTCTCTTATTTTCTTGAAGGCCTGCGCTTCTACCCACTTTGAGAAATAGTCAGTCATAAATAAGATGAATCTGGCCTTACCTGGTGCCGTTGGCAAAGGGCCGACAATGTCCATCCCCCATTTCATGAATGGCCATGGTGATAAAATGGAATGCAGCTGTTCTCCGGGCCGGTGGATCATGGGGGCGAACCTTTGACACTTTTCGCATTTTCAGACGAATTCCCTGGCGTCTTTCTCCATGCTATCCCAATAGTAGCCCACCTGGATCACTTTTCGGACCAAGGAATCGGCCCCGGAATGATTTCCGCAGGTGCCCTCGTTGATCTCTCGAAGCACGTATTTCGTGTTGCCCGGTCCCAAGAATATCGCTAGGGGACCATCGAAAGTTCTCCTGTAAAGGGCCCCATTTTCGTCGAGTGAGAACCGGGCCGCTTTGGTTCGTAGGGCCCTTGACTCTTTTGGGTCCGTGGGCAGATTTCCGTCTTTCAGATACGCGATATATTTGTTTCTCCAGTCCCATGTCAGGCTGGTGGAGTTAATTTCCGCATGGCCCTCTTCGACCACAGATTTGAATAGTTGGACGACGGTTTCGGGGAGCAGGTCTTCTTCTTCGGCGGAGGATCCCAAGTTTGCGAGGGCATCGGCCTCGCAATTTTTCTCTCGGGGTATGTGTACTAAAGTCCATTCTTTGAAATGACGCAACGCGATTTGGATTTTGTCCAAATACCTTTGCATCCTGTCCTCTCGGGCTTCGTAGCTTCCGTTTACTTGGCTTACCACGAGGAGCGAGTCGCACTTTTCTTCCACGATCTCGGCTCCCAAACCTTTGGCCAAATCTAGACATGCAATCATAGCCTCATATCCGGCTTCGTTGTTAGGCAGTTTCGTGGTTTTTATGGATTGTCTGATTATGCCGCCGACGGGCGGCCTCAAGACTATACCGAGTCCGGATCCTCTTACGTTTGTGGCGCCATCCGTGAACAAGGTCCATACCCCGGAGGAAGTGCCTGATTTTAATAAAAGGTCTTTCTCTACCTCGGGTACGATGGCTGGCGAGAAGTCAGCCACGAAATCCGCCAGGATTTCGGACTTAATGGCTGTCCGAGGTTGATACTCAATATCATACCCTCCGAGTTCGATGGCCCATTTGGCCAATCGACCTGATAGCTCAGGTTTATGCAGTATACTCCGGAGGGGATAAGTTATCAGGACGCAGATACAGTGGCACTGAAAATAAGGCTTCAGTTTGCGCGAGAGGCTTATTAGCGCGAGAGCCAGTTTTTCTAGATGGGGGTACCGGGTTTCGGCGTCCCCCATGGTGCGGCTTACGTAATAAATAGGAAATTGCATACCTTGCTCTTCTCGGACAAATACGCCGCTTACCGCTATTTCGGATACTGCTAGGTACAAATATAGTGTTTCACCCTCCTCGGGCATGCACAGCAAAGATGGGCTGGACAGGTATCGTTTCAGTTCCTCCAGGGCGTGTTGGCATTCTGAAGTCTACTCGAAGTTGTTCTTCCTTTTAAGCAGGGCGAAGAAATGGTCGCTTTTGTCTGATGATCTCGATATGAACCTGCCTAGGGCCGCGATCCGCCCCGTTAATCACTGGATGGCTTTTACGTTGTTTACCGCCGTAATCTCTTCGATGGCCTTTATTTTATCGGGATTGATTTCGATCCCCCTGTTTGAGACCATGAAGCCCAGGAATTTACCCGAGCCTACTCCAAATGCGCATTTCTCAGGATTGAGCTTCATGTTGTAGCTTCTGAGGATGTCAAAGGTTTCCTGCAAATGGGTCAAATGGTCCTCTGCGCGTAGGGATATTACTAGCATATCATCAATATATACCTCCATCGATTTTCCTACCTGGTGCTCGAACATTTTGTTAACTAGCCGTTGGTACGTTGCTCCCGCATTTTTTTGGCCTGAAGGGCATTACGATATAACAATATGTTCCGTATTTTGTGATATACGAGGTTTTTTCCCTATCTTCGGGGTTCATCTGGATCTGATTATACCTCGAGTAGGCATCGAGAAAAGTGAGGGTCTCATGGCCGGCCATAGCATCGATCAAGCGATCAATATTGGGCAGTAGGAAGGAACCTTTTGGGCACGCCTTGTTCAAGTCTTTATAGTCTACGCACATTCTTAGCTTATTCCCCTTTTTTTGGGTACCACAAATACGTTAGCCAGCCATTCAGGATACTTTACCTCCCTGATGGATCCAATTTTAAGAAGTTTCGCCACTTCCTCTTTGATGAAGGCATGTTTCATCTCGGACTGCGGTCTCCTTTTTTGCTTCACGGGTTTGAACTTGGGGTCAACGCTTAGTTTGTGGGACGTTATCTCCGGCGGGATACCTGTCATATCTAAATGGGACCAAGCGAAGTAGTCGATATTATTACTGAGGAATTGAATAAATTCTGCCCTGAGTTCGGGGGTCAGTCCCGTGCCCAAGTATACCTTGCGATCCGGGAGGTGTTTGATCAAAACGGTTTGCTCCAGCTCCTCGACTGTTGACTTGGTCTCGTCGGATTCTTTAGGAGAGACGAAAGTCCGGGGTGCGAAGAAGTCTTCCTCGTCGTCTTCAAGGGTCTGCGCGCTTCCCTCCCCGTCCAAGGCCGAGTATGCGGGAATTGTCGTCTCGTGGTGGACTGCGAACATTTCCCTTGTTGCTTGCTGTTCCCCATGTATGGTTGTGATACCGTCCCTGGTGGGAAACCTTATTACCTGGTGCAAGGTCGAGGGCACGACCCTTATGTTGTGTATCCAAGGTCTACCAAGTACGGCGTTGTGTTTCATGTCACCGTTGATAACCTGAAACTCGGTGTTCTGGGTCGTGCCGGACGTGTCGATTGGGATAATGATTTCTCCCTTTGTTTCCTCTCTGACCATGTTGAAACCGTGGAGGACCCGAGAGGTGGGGATGACTTGATTGAGCAATCCTAGCTGTCCTACTACTTCTNCATATTGCAGCTCTAAGGATGTCAGAGGTTTCCTGCAAATGGGTCTAAATTCGTCCTCTGCACGCGAGGGTACTTTTACCAGCATATCATCAACATACTACCTCCTATTGTACTTTTCCAACCGTGGTGCTCGAACTATTTTGTTAACTACGCCAGTTGGTACGTTGCCTCCCGCTATTTTACGCCGAAGGCATTACGTTATAACAATATGTTCCGTATTTTGTGATAAACGAGGTTTTTCCCCTATCTTCGGGGTCATCTGGATCTAATTATACCCCGAGTAGGCATCCAGAAAAGTGAGGGTCTCGTGGCCGGCCGTAGCATCGATCAAGCGATCGATATTGGGCAGTGGGAAGGAATCTTTTGAGCACGCCTTGTTCAAGTCTTTATATTCTATGCACATTCTTAGCTTATTCCCCTTTTTTGGTACCACTACTACGTTAGCCAGCCATTCGGGATACTTTACCTCCCTGATGGATCCAATTTTAAGGAGTTTCGCCACTTCCTCCTTGATGAAGGCATGTTTTACCTCGGACTGTGGTCTCCTTTTTTGCTTCACGGGTTTGAACTTGGGGTCAACACTTAGTCTGTGGGACGTTATCTCCGGTGGGATACCTGTCATATCTAAATGGGACCAGGCGAAGTAGTCGATATTATTACTGAGGAATTGAATAAATTCTGCCCTGAGTTTGGGGGTCAGCCCCGTACCCAAGTATACCTTGCAATCCGGGAGGTGTTTGATCAAAACGGTTTGCTCCAGCTCCTCGACTGTTGACTTGGTCGCGTCGGATTCTTCGGGAGCGACGAAAGTCCGGGGTGCGAAGAAGTCTTCCTCGTCGTCTTCAAGGGTCTGCGTGCTTCCCTCCCCGTCCAAGGCCGGGTATGAGGGAATTGCCATCTCGTGGTGGATTGCAAACATTTCCCTTGCTGCTTGCTGTTCCCCATGTATGGTTCTAATACCGTCCCTGGTGGGAAACCTTACTACCTGGTGCAAGGTCGAGGACACGGCCTTTATATTGTGTATGCAAGGTCTGCCAAGTAGGGTGTTGTATTTCATGTCACCGTTGATGACCTGAAACTCAGTGTTCTGGGTCGTGCCGAACGTGTCGATCGGGATAATGATTTCTCCCTTCGTTTCCTCTCCGACCATGTTGAAACCGTGGAGGACCCGAGAGGTGGGGATGACTTGATTGAGCTATCATAGCTGTCCTACTACTTCTGACCTGATTATGTTGACCGAGCTGCCTGGGTCCACGAGCACACGCTTTATTCTGGTGTTGTTTGAGAGAAACGAGATGACTAGAGCGTCGTTGTGCGGTTCCATCATAGCTTCGAGGTCCTCCTTGCTGTTTACGAGGATTTCTTCACGCGGGCGCTCCCGGGCCGACCCTTCTTCTGTAGCGGGTGTCCTTGCTCGTTTGGAGGTGGGCCCTCGGGGGACGTCGGCTCCCCTAATAATCATATGGACGTCGGCTTCTTGGTTGGTGTGAGAAGTTTCTCTGACTTGCTGTGCGTCCTGTGAGTCCGCGTCCGCTAGTACTGGTCCGGGTGCGTTATCGGGATCCTGTAGTGGTGCTCCGGCGGTCATTCTCAACTCTGTTCACCGAGCCAAACATTTTTACCTGAAATCAAAGGATCTTGGACAAGAAAAAGTGTGAAAGACGATGTGCGTTTCTGTAATGAAACTAGCAAGAAAATAATCTATTATTTATAGCCCCACGGTGGGCGCCAAACTGTTTACCATGAAAATGGTAACGACAATTAAATTTATGAAAAGGGACTCTAAAAATACGTGATCTATTCCCAAGCTAGTTGTTAGAGCAGATGATGCTAGTATTATGAATTTTAACGATGGGGCGGGAGATAAACGAGGTAACGACCGAACCAAAGGGCCTGCTACCCGGGCGTAATCTTGGTCTATTGGGACTTTGAGGTCGACCTCGAGGTCGAGCTCGGGTTGTCGGACACGTGGGAGTAGTATAACAGCTAGAGATAAAATCAAACAAAGCTATTTATAACCGAAATTGAGCTTGTATGATGAAGAACTCATATAGAGGCAAAGGATATCGAGATATCCTCAGTATCAGTGAGAGCCAATAAGTTTTAGTAAGAAGAGAGAGAGGGAGAGAGATATTATTGCACTTTGTAGAATTGTTGGAGCAACATTAGTCCCTTACAAGGTAGGGTGAGTCTCTTTTATATAGGAGAGGAAACTCGGTTACGAATATATGTATATTTAATTTACGAAATATGGAGATATGATGGCTTGACTCGACGCCTCAGCGTAGGTTCCGGATAGGCCGGCCATGTCAGACTCAGCTTCGTGTCTTGGGGGCTTCCCATTTTTGTCCTGGCCTTGGCTTCCATCTGGCCCTGAATCGGATCTTAACAAGCCCCGGGGAAGAGGACTAAGTTGTGGCTTCGTGTCCTCGGGGTTTTGAGGTATTTACCCGAGGTGTCTTGATAGCGAGAAATCAGACCCTCTGATTTCACCACGCTCAGCTTTTCTTTGGGGATGGATATTTTTGTCCTTCTTATCACGGGTTCATAAGGAGCGTCGATGCCCCCTAATATCATGTGGATAACGTGCCGTGGCTCGTTTGCTTCATTCTTCTTGGCCGCCTCTCTTTCTCAAAACTGATTTTTGGCTCGATCGCTCAAGAATTCTCTGAGATCACCTTTGTTGAGTAACCTGGCCACTTCCTCTCGTAGCTGGTGACAATCCTTGGTTCTGTGGCCATGCGTGTTGTGGAATTCGCATACCAGGTTATGATTCTTTTGGGAAGGATCCGATTGTACAGGCCTGGGCCATTTGGTATCCTTGATTTTGCCAATGGCGAACACGATGTCTGAAACATCAATGTTGAAGTTGTATTCTGATAGGTGTGGTGCCCCTGTTGGCCCCGTGTTTCCGTCAAATCTGGCCCTGTTAATGAACCCTCGGGGATTCTGCCCTCGGTTTACCAGTCGATCGTTGGGAGGTGGGTTGCATCATGGGGTGCTTCTTCTATCTTCGATGTATGGCGTATACCTTTCTTTGTTTGGGTTCAACTCCTTTTCTAAGATCATATTCGGGTATACTGAGCCCGAAGGGGCTCCTAATTGATCATCCTCCACCCCGATCTTTGATTGGTATCGGTTGTGGTCATTCCACCAGATTACGGCAGGATACTCTATTAGATTTTCTTTCAGCTGCCTTGAGGCCACCGAACTCCGCTCGTTCAGGCCTTGAGTGAAGGCCTGTACTGCCCAGTCGTCAAAGACCGGGGTAATTCCATTCGTTCTGTTTGAAAGCGAGATACGAACTCCCGCAGTATTTTGTTCTCCCTTTGTCTGATCTTGAATACG